CACAGCTTAGAGGGAGCATTGGTAAGGAGTGCTGTAGAGACTAAGGGCTTCCAAACTAAGTTTGGTGTAGCGGTTAAGTGGTTAAGTTAGTGTAGTGTTGTGGTTAAATGCGTGGATTCTAATCTGGGAGAACCGGGTTTGGTTCCCCACTCCTCCTCCACTTGCACCTGGCTGGATGACCTTGGGCAAGCCGTAGCTCTGATAAGAGCTGTCCTTGAAAAAGAGCAGTTCCTGTCAGAGCTCTCTCAGCCCCACCTACCTCCCAGGGTGTCTGTTGTGGGGAGGAGTTTGTAAGCCGCTCTGAGACTCCCTCAGGTAGTGAAAGGCGGGGTATAAATCCAGTCTCTTCTTCTCCGCTTCCTCCACATGCAGCTGCTGGTGTGACCTTGGGTCAGTCACAAGTTCTCTCATGAGCTGTTCTCTCAAGAACGGTCCTCAAAAGAGCTCTCTCAGGCCCACCTACCTCACAGGGTGTCTGTTGTGGGGAGGGGAAGGGAAAGGAGTTTGTAAGCCGCTCTGAGACTCCTTTGGGTAGTGAAGGGCGGGGTACAAATCCAATCTCTTCTTCTTCTACTTCCTCTTCTAAATAAATGAAAGAGGCCAGGAGTGTGTTGGGACGGAGCTTCCTGGTGGGTGCGCCCGTCTCTGGGCAGCCTGGTGTGGCGCTGAGGCCCACAGTTCCCAGGGCAGCCAGGAAGATCAGTGGGCAGCAGAGGTGGTTGGAACAGAACTTAGGGGAGGGACCATGGCTCTGTGGCAGAGCCTCTGCTTGGCATGCAGAAGGTCCCAGGTTCAATCCCCGGCATCTCCAAGTAAAAGGACTAGGCAGGTGTCAAAGACCTCTCCCTGCCTCATGGAGGATAAGTCTGTCAGTGGCTGGTGACTGAGGGGAACCTCCACATTCAGGGGCAGTCAACCTCTGAATCCCAGAGGCAGGAGGAAACATCAGGGGAAGGCCTCAGTGCCTATGCCCAGATGTTGGCCCTCCAGAGGAACTGGTTGGCCCCTGGGTGAGACAGGAGGCTGGACTAGATGGACCCTCCCTGGTCTGATCCAGCAGGGCTCTTCTGGTGTTCTTCTTTGGTGAAGGCCTTGGTCTCCGACGTGCCCTGTTTGTTTTACCTCCAGAGGAACTGGTTGGTCACTGGGTAAGGTGAGATGCTGGACTAGATGGACCCTCACTGGTCTGATCCAGTGGGGCTTTTCTGAGGTTCTTCTCAGGGAAAGACCTCAGCCTCTCTGCCCTGTTGTTGGCTCTCCAGAGGAACTGGCTGGCCCCTGTGTGAGACGGGATGATGGACTAGATGGACCCTCCCTGGTCTGACCCAGCAGGGCTCTTCTGGTGTTCCTCTCAGGGGAAGGCCTCGGCCTCTCTGCCCTGTTTGTTGGCCCTCCGGAGGAACTGGTTGGCCGCTGTGTGAGACGGGATGCTGGACTAGAGGGACTATTTGGTCTGATCCAGCAGGGGTCTTCTTAGGTTCTTATACTTGAGACCCTGGAAAGCAGCTGCCAGTCTGAGTAGACAAGACTGACCCAGATGGACCGAGGGACTGGTTCAGTGTAAGGCAGCCTCATGTATGTTCATAGGTCTGGGCCTTCCAGGGCCGCGCAGCCTTCCTCTGGGGGAGTCTCGAAGCCAGGGCGGGCGGGTGTGGCTATGGATTCTCTAACACGAGTTGTTGTTGTTGTTGTTTTCCGCAGAAGAATCCCCTTCGACTGCCTCCACCACACCTGATTCTACCGAGGGTGAGTACCCGATGCGGGCATGAGCGTACCGGGCGGGATTCACCCCTCACGTCCCCGGTCCGTGCCACAAGGGGCTCGGGCTTAGACTTGGCAGTGGGGAGGGGATGCAGCCCCGGGAGGGGTCGCCGGCCGCTCCCGTGCCGCTGGAGGTGAGGTGCGTCAGCCCCCCTCTTCATTGGGCTGCCCAGGGGTCAGTTCCTCCCGGACAGCCCCCCTCTTCATTGTGCTGCCCAGGGGTCATTTCCTGCAGGAGCGCACAGGAGCGGAGCTCCGGCAGTAAAGAGCCCAGGGGGCGGGCACATGCAACAAACCCTACCCCCTGCTCCCAGCAGCCCTCAGTCAGAGCAAGAAGCAGTCAGGTGAGTTGCAGAGCCAAGAGGTCCAAAACAGTCCAGTGGCACCTTTAAGACCAAGTTTTATTCAGGTACGAGCTCTCCCTTCCTCCGCGAGGACAGATCTGCATGTTCCTCCCCCCCCCCATAGCTAGCAATCCAAAACAGTCCAGTGGAGCCTGAGCGGTGGGTGTTGCCTTCTGACACACGTCCGGTGATGTCAGAGGGTGTGGCATATGCAAATGAGTTATGCTAATATGCTAATGAGGTCCTGCACCTCTTTTTCTACAAAATGACCCCTGATGCTGCCCAAAGAAGACACTCGTGTGCCTCGGCCGAAGAACCAGCCCCACTAACCGCTGGTCGGTTTGAGTGCTGGTCCAGGCCTGGTGTCGACCCCCCCCCCCGGGCCGTCTCTTGGTTCAAGAAACCTAGGCCAGAGCCCTGAGGACTGGCCAGGGATTCCTTCGTCTGCAGGCCCTGCCCCTCGACAGCCAGATTTGGGCAAACCCACCCACCAAGGTCTTTGCCAAGGGCTCGCCAAAACCTTGGAATCCTAGAATCACACAGAGTTGGAAGGGGTCGTAGAGGGCATCTAGTCCAACCCCCTGCTCAATGCAGGATCAGCATAGAGCATCCCTGACAAGAGTTTGTCCAGCCGCTGCTTGAAGACTGCCAGGGAGGGGGGAGTTCACCACCTCCCCAGGCAGCCGGTTCTACAGTTGCACAACTCTGACTGTCAAAAGGTTTTCCTAAGATCCAGCCCTTCAGATACTTCAAGAGAGCCATCCTGCCCCCCCTCAACCTCCTCTTCTCCAGACTGAACATTCCCAAGAAGTCCCTCAGCCTTTCGATATTTCAAGAGTAATCCTGTACCCCCTTGACCTCCTCTTCTCCAGACTGAACATTCCCAAGAAGTCCCTTAGCCTTTCCTCCTAGGGCGTCTTGGTCTCCAGGCCCCTGGTCATCCTTGTCACTCTCCTCTGCACCCGCTCCATTCTGCCCACATCCTTTTTGAAGTGAGGCCTCCAGAACTTCACACAAGTCTCCAGGTGCGGCCTGACCCATGGAGTGTACAGCGGGACTATCACATTTTGCAATTTGGCTGTTATGCCTCTGTTGATATACCGCAAGATCGCATTAGCCTTTTTTGTCGCTGCGTCACACTGGCGGCTCATATTTAACTTTCGGTCCACCCTTACCCCAAGATCTTGTTCATGCACACACTGCTACCCAGAAGCGTATCCACCATCCAGTATTTGTATTCCTCATTTTTGTTACCCAGATGTAGAACTCGGCACTTATCCTGGTTAAATTGCATCTCGTTCACATCCGCCCGCTTTTCCAGCGTGTTCAGATCTTGTTGAATTCTATCTCGCAAGCAGCTCGTGCGTCGGAATTCCTCTCTCTCGGAGTGTGCCTGGATTCCATGGGACATGGAACCCAACCTTTCAGAGCCTGCAGGCACCTTCGGAATTCTGACACGGCATGGTGGGCAGCAGCGGCTGCAAAATGGCGGCTGCGCAAGGCGGAGCCAGCCCCAAAATGGCCGCAGCAGCTTCCCTTCAGTCACACACTGAAGATCCTTGGGCAGGGGCGGTAGCCAATCAAACGTCCTGAATCAGAAACCTTGCTGGGCAAAAGCCCTGCCTCTTTTCTAAAAAGGGGCGGCACGTTGGGGACCCCTGCCACAGGCCCTGTGGCGCAGCACAGGGCCAAAGGAGGAAGTAATTCCGTGTCAATGTCGTTCCCCTTCCCCAATCCTGACCTTTGCTCTTTTTGCCCAGGCGGCAACGATGAATCCGACTTCCCCGAGCTGCAGACGGCGCGGGAATTCTCTGAGGACGAAGAAGAGGCCTCCGTGGAGTGGGGGACCCCGCGGGAGCTGACTTTCTCCTACATCACGATCGCGGGGGGCCCCAGCAGCAGCCCCACCATGGGGGAGCCCGGGTCTCGGGGCAGGCGCGACTCCCAGACCCGCCGGACGCGGCCCGCGCTGCCCCGCACGGAAACCTGCGAGACTTTTGTGCCGGCTCTGGGGGACAGTTTGGAGAATATTCCCAGCCTCTGCCCGTCCCCCGAAGGAGAGGGGGCATCGCCTCCTGGGCATGGCCAGGGACTGGACCCCTTCTCAGGCTGGGACGTCGAAACGGGCAGCGTTGACGAACCACCGGTCACAGAGGAAGGAAGAGGGCTGGATTTATACCCACAGCACAGCCCCACGACGGAGGCAGCGGAATGGGGACGGTGCAGGACGTCATCTTCAGGTACAGAGAGAGCAGAGGGCAACTCCGTTCTCCTTTCTAGAACTCCTTTCTAGAAATCTGATCGGTTTATAAATTTATTAACGTTTTTGTTGGCATTTATTTATTTATTAGCCGTTTTCCCCAGGGAGGGCCCGAACCGTTTAACATTGCTCTCCTCACCTCGCCTCCATTTTATCCTCACAACAACCCAGCGAGGTGTGGTAGGCTGAGAGCAGTGCTCCCTGTAAGCCGTGGAGTCATGTGAGCAAAAATTCTACGTTGTGAGCGACCAGCATTAAAGTTGTGAGCGAGCGATTTTTGGCCGCTTCGTAAATGAGATTGCTCTGGAGCCCTCCTTCCCGAGCGAAGACAAAAATGTGTGATCCGGAGGCCACAAAACTGTGAGCTAGCTCACACTGACTCAGCTTAGAGGGAACACTGGTTTGAGAGCGTGTGAGCGGCCCAAGGTCACCCAGCCAGATCCCATGGCAGAGGCGGAATTCGAACCTGGGTCTCCCAGATCCTAGCTCGACATTCTAACCGCTACACTAGACTGACTCTCGTTAGCTATAATCATCCTTTCTGACTTGGACTCCGGGCGGATTACACAGAGTGAGTCAGTGTGGTCGACAGGATGGTACCGTCAATAAAAAATGCAAAAGGAATTAGATTGGATTTATCCCCCACCCTTCACTACCCAAAGGTGTCTCAGAGTGGCTTACAAACTCCTTTCACTTCCCCTCCCCACAACAGACACCCTGGGAGGCATGTGGGGCTGAGAGCTCTGACAGAAACTGCTCTTTTTCAAGGACAGCTCTTATCAGAACTACGGCTTGCCCAAGGTCATCCAGCCAGGTGCAAGCGGAGGAGGAGTGGGGAATCAAACCTGGTTTTCCCAGATTAGAGTCCGCGCACTTCACCACAACACCAAACTGGTGTAGAACCAACCAGAAGTCTAAAAACAGACCTGAAGCAAAGCGTAAGTGTTCGCATGAGACATTAAGTGATGCAGAATTACATATTAGGATCATACTTACGGCAAGCTACACACAGTAGTATAGACCGCAGTCCCTATTGGTTTATCCAAGTAACTTTGGGAATCGTTTTGTAACAGTGTAAATAGGGCAGTTCGTAAACGGTGAGATCCATTTGGGATTCCAGAAGGGAAACGAAAGAGAGATGAGGGGTTCACATTCATAGCGGTACATCTCTGAGCATTTGGCTCTCCTGAATGCCTCTTATGAAAGATGATGGTCAGCAGATCAACGGTGCTTTCATTGTTTAAAGTGCTTTGCATGCATTATCTTCCAGTAAAATAGTGCCCTGCTGGTGGACCTCCAGTCTGGTGTAGTGGTTAAATGCGTGGACTGGGAGAACCGGGTTTGATTCCCTACTCCTCCACTTGCAGCTGCTGGATGACCTTGGGCAAGCCATGGTTTTGTCAGAGCTGTTCTTGAAAAAGAGCAGTTTCTGTTAGAGCTCGCTCAGCCCCACCCACCTCACAGGGTGTCTGTTGTGGGGAGGGGAAGGGAAAGGAGACTGTAAGCCGCTCTGAGACGCCGAGTGAAGGGCGGGGTATAAATCCAATCTCCTCTTCTCCTCTCCTTCTCTTCTCTTTTGTGGCTCCTGGGTTTGAGCCACTGTGCGACACAGAGTGTAGGACTGGAGGGGCCATTGGCCTGACCCCGCATGGCTTCTCTTATGTTCTTAATCCTTACAACAACCCTGCAAGGTCAGCCGGTGTCCTTATCCTCATATCGCAGATGGGGGCTTGCTCAAGGTTAGAATGATTGCAAGTGGGGGACATGGTAAAGTATCTCCTTGGCATACAGAAGGTCCCAGGTTCAATCCCCGGCATCTGCAGATAAAAGGCCCAGGCAGGAGGTGATGTGAAAGGCCTCTGCCTAAAACCCTGGAGAGCTGCTGCCAGTCTGAGTAGACAATACCAACCTTGAGGCACTGGTGGTCTGATTCAGTATAAGGCCGCTTAGTGATGTGACTGGTAACTGGAAGACCCAGGTTCAAATCCTCACCCTGCTAGGGAAGTTTGCTGGGCGGCCTTGGGCCAGTCACCTTCTCTCGGCCGGACCCACCTCGCGGGGTTGTTGTGAAGATAAAGGGAAGGAGAGGAAAACGATGTGCGCAACTCCAGGTCCCCACGAGGGGAGAAAGACAGGGTACAAAATGAAATAAGTAATACAACCCTATATATTGAATAGTGACATGTGGCCTCCATCTGCGGATATCTATATCCACACATCGGGGCTACATTGCACTCAACACATTTTTCTGCAAACTTGGGGGACACCCCCCCCCCCCGTGTTTAATAAAATACATTGCAGGGCGCCAGGATCCATTCTGATCAGTGGGCGCCAGGATCCATTCTAGGCCTGCTGGCAGCTCCGGAAGTATATTGCAGTGCTGTGCCCGGGACTCAGGGGTGGTTGGAGGAGGAGCCAGGAACTGCGCCAGGTACGGCGATGGGGGGTGGGTGGGATTCCTCCCTGGAGCCCCATGGGCCCCCCTCCACTTGCATTAGCTCAAAAAAGAATTATAGAAGTTTCTGACTCTGTGTTTTGCGGTCTCTCTGCAAGGTGGTTGTACCAGGCCTGGTCCACGGAGGCCACAGACTGGGGTGGGGGTAGAACGGACAACACCACTTAAGACCGCCGGGTGCATTTTGCAAAGAGCCCCAACATGAAACAGTTCTCTACTAGTGGGAAAGTTAGTTTGACAGGTGAAGCCAGCGCCTTCCTGCCCGATGCGCTCATTTTATACTTGCAAGGCGTTCTTATGTGGGGGACCATTAAGTAGGTGACACCCCACCCCACCCCACCCCCGGTCTGTAGTGGTGCCGCCCATTCTGCTGTCTCAGAATTCTGCTCCCTCATTAAAAATCATACAATCACAGAGTTGGAAGGGACCTCCAGGGTCATCTAGTCCAACCCCCTGCACAATGCAGGAAATTCGCAACTACCTCCCCCCCACACACACCCCAGTGACTCCTGCTCCATGCCCAGAAGATGACAAAAAATCTCCAGGGTCCCCAGCCAAACTGGCCTGGAGAAAAATGGCTTCCTGGCCCCAAAGTGGCGATCGGCATTTCCCTGGGCGTGTAAGGAAGGGCCACGAGAACTAAGCACTGAGGCAACCCTTCCTGCCCTCCATCTCGTGATCTGTCCAAGTTCACACAATCAGTATTGCTGTCCAATTGCCATCTAGCCTCAGTTTGAAAACCTCCCAAGAAGGAGAGCCCACTACCACCTCCCAAGGAAGCCTGTCCCACTGAGGAACCGCAAGCTCTTCCTGATGTTTAGCCGAACACTCTTCTGATTTAATTCCAACTCGTTGGTTCTGGTCTGACCTTCTGGGGCGACAGAAAACAACTCCGCCCCATCCTCTAGATGACAGCCCTTCAAGGACTTGAAGAGGGTTATCATATCCAGGGGTCATTCCCTGCAGGAGCGCACAGGAGAGGAGCTCCGGCAGTAAAGAGCCCAGGGGGCGGGCACATGCAACAAGCCCCACCCCCTGCTCCCAACAGCCCTCAGTCAGAGCAAGAACCAGCAAGGTAAGTTGGAAAGGCCCCCCGCAGTCCAAAACAGTCCAGTGGCACCTTTAAGACCAAGTTTTATTCAGGTACAAGCTCTCCCTCCTCTGCG